CTTTACAGACATACAGATTGTTAGGAATAATAATAACAACACAGGAAATCCAGAGTGGAACTTCTGGCAACATGGCAGACTGAATTAATGTGGCTATCTCCTCACCCAGCCCCCCTCAAACACACACACAAATTTGCATAAAATAGAATTTTAAAATTAAAATATGGACAATTGCAAAAATTTAGTTTAAAAAAAAGAAACCCAAATATTAGACTTAAGGAAGGAAGACAAAACCAAATAAAAGAGGAGAGGAGGCTGTCCCAGTGGCCATGGTGGGTTTAGACAGGGACCTGAAGCTGCATTTTAATGCTTCTGGTTATGGGATATGTGGCCTCAGCCCACCAGAGATAAGGCGCTGGGGCTGGACCCCCTGCATAAAGCTCAGAACATCAAAGATATACCTTCTCCGTGGAAAAAAAACTAAAAACTACACACACCAGTCCACAGAAGCAGAGAAAAGGAAAAGAAGCCCTGAGAGATTGAAGTCCCGAGTCTGAGCAAATGCTTGTATTGCATCCGGATTTACATTATCTGATTGATGCTGATTCTCAAGCAGAGAAGTTAAACAGAAATCTGGTTTTGGACTCTTGAAATCCCTAGGAATACCACACAGCCCCACAGAAGCAAGAAAGAGCTCTGTAAGAATGTTTTCATAGGCCAGAACATATGGGGGACACACTCTCTCTCTCTCTCTCTCTCTCTCTCACACACACACACACACACACACACCTGCTATAGAAGAGCTCACAATAAAATATTATAAACTAGACAAGGAAGTAATCAACCATAAGAAAGAGTCAGCAGACACAACAAACAGAAGAATTAACACTCCCAGAACTGTGCGTAATAGAAAAACACTATATAATAAGTATACTTAAAAGCACTAAAAATTAAACACAAGAAAATAAACCACAATAAAAATATTGGACTATGAAAAAAGCAGCTTATTGAGAGGGAAAGATAAAACATTAAGAAATGAAAGGCATATCATTGAAATTAAAGACTCAATGATGTATTAAACAGTAGACTAGACCCAGTTGGAAAGAGAATTAGTGAATTGGAAGATAGAGCTGATGAAATCATTCAAAATTTGGAGGGAAGGTGATGAAATAGAAAATATGAAAGAATAGTTAAAAGACATGAGGGAAAGAATGAGATATATATATATAAAAGCCTAATATGCAAAGTGTCCCCTTTGGAGTTCAATAGCTTGCTATGATGTGCGCTGACCACCAGGGGGTGGTGCAGAACAAAGGGCTGCTGGTGGGCAGCCGGCAGCAGCTAGGGACCCTACCTGTGCACAAATTTCATGCACTGGGCCTCTAGTATAAAATAGGGGCTCCTGAAAGAGACAGGAAGAATGGGGGGAATGTAATATCCCAAGATAATGGTTAAGAATTTTCCAAAATGGAAGAAAAACACAGGTCTCAGGTTGAAGAGTCCTGAGCTTATAAACACATTGTGGCAAAACTGCAGAATACTGAGGAAAAGAAAAAAATCTTAAAAGTAACAAGAAAAAAAAAGGCTTGTTTGCCTAGAAAAATAATAGTTATATTGGCTGACTTCTTATTAGCAACAAAATATTATAGAAAAAAATAAAATATCTTCAAAAGATCAAGAAAAACCTGACAACCTCAAATTCTCTGCCCACGAAGTTTCCACTTAAATGGTGTGAAGTAAGGAAGTTTTAAGACAGTGGCTCAGAATGTTTACCACTTGAAAACTTTCACTGAAATGCCACCAAAGGATATACTGTACAAGAAGGAAGGCGTGGAATGCAAGAAGGCATGGTGAGCAGAGAAATTTATGTCAGTGAATCTAATCAAGCACAGAAAGCCACTGGTAAGAATGTAAATTGGTCAAACAGCTTTTTAGAGCACTGTAGCAATAACTAGTAAAGTTTAACTAGTGACGTTAAGCACATATTCTCTGACCTAGAAATTCTACCTCTACGTATCTACCTTAGAGAAGTGCTTACATATATGCCAAGGAGGCACCCATAGCACTGTTCATGGCAGCATTGTTTATAACCCAGAAAACTGGAAACATTCTAAATGCCCCTTAGCAGAAAGAGGAATAAATAAATTGTGGTACCAGTATATTCAAACAATGAAATTGTATTCAGAAGTTAAAATTCATGAATAAATGTAAAACATTTTTGAGAAAAAAGAAAGCTTGCAGAATAATGTATGCGGTATAATACCATTTAGATAGATTTTAAACACAAGTCAATATTCTGTAGTGTTTGTGAATATATATACATAGAGAATAAAACTGTAAAACTATAACTAGAAGGGCTATCTCTGAATCAAATATGGCAAGAAATGAACAGAAATTGGATTTCAGTGGATATTCATTGTTATTCACTGTATCTCTGTATTTTTCTGCATGTTTAATAGATTTACATTTTCCCCCTTCTAACAAAGGGATCTAGGCATTTAGAAATAAGGGTAAAGGGGGATAAATGGTTGCATCAATCCTGAGAGGATGAGCTTTGGGATGGATTAGGAGGGAGGCTGAGTCCTGAGTCCAGGGATTACAAGGATTAATTTAGATCATCTCCCTCAGCTAATCACCTGACACCCCCACCTCTGCTGGCACTTGGGAGCTGCATCCTTGGGCCCTGGTCCACTTCCCTTCCCCCCATAGCTGCTGAACCTTTCCCTCCTGCCCCCTAATCCTGCCCACCCCCCCTCCACCCCATCCTCAACCCAGTGCTGGTCTGGCCAGGATTTGCCCATATTTGGGTCCTGAGAATAGATTGGTTCGGATCTCCCTGAATGCCCTCCTAATTGAGGGTGAAAGCTGACCTGCAGGCCAAGAGCCAGGGAGAAACTAGTCTTAATACTCAGGATCAGAGCTCCCCGAGGAGCGCTTGGACCCCAGGTGTCATAGTCGACAACGTCCTCCCTTGACCTTCCCTCCATCAGTCGAAAGGTCAGCGGTGAACATCAGCTGCTGACCGCCCTGGCTGAGGCAGAACGAGGAGCTGCACTAAGGCAAACCACACAGCCACGGGGCTTGCAGCACTAGGCTGTCAGTCACCAGAGCTCTCTGCCGCCCACCCTCCCAATGCCAACCCCTTCCTCCCTCCCTGACAATTGTCCTGCTCCCCAAGTCTGGGCAGGTCTGCTATCTGCAGCCGACCCTCCGGAAGGGTCTGGGTGGGCTACTTCAACAACCTTTCCCCGACGGGATCACGTTGACCACAGGATATGGAGTGGAATCCTGATCTCTGGGGAGCAAATGAAGTCTCCATCATCTCTCAGAGCGCTCGGCTAGAGGGATGAGAGGGAGAAGGGAAGGAGAGGGGGAGAGGAGAGGAAGGGGAGGGGAGGGAGACTCTTATAGGGCAACGTTATCGTTATTGGGCAACATTTAACTCCCTAAGCGTGAAATCATACTGGGAAGTCTTAGGAACCTCCAATACTTTTCTGGAGGCGCCGGGACGCCCCTGTTCCTACGTGCGCGCCGCTCTGTCCCTGCTGAGACCCGCAGAGATGCCTGGGGGACAGACAGTCCTCGGGTGAATAACTGAATCACTGAAACAAGCCCTTTGGGCTTCCACATCTACAAGAGGGAACATCAGCAGTTCCCACTCGAGGCGGCTACAGGCGTGGGGTGCGTGCATCGGGGCTGGTGGCCCACGGGGTTGGGGCCAGGGCGGGAGGCAGGGCGGTGGGAGAGGAGGTCTTC